TAATACAGACTTTGAGACCAGACATTCACAGGAAAGGAATATCCCAATTCATAATGATGAGTGACATTCACTACTCTACCCTCAGGACAAGCAGGAGGGTAGGAGTAACCAAGAAAAGAATAGCTGGACACCTTCCTCCTGGCTGATACAGCACTTCCAGGGCCCTCACATTTCGGCTGCTTGCTCGTTTCACAGTGACATTACTTCCGACGTTCTACTGAACCAGCCACCACTGTGTGCTACTGATTATTTCTCGAGAAGAAGGGATCAGAACCACTGGGGTGTGCTGCATCACCCCGGGCCACTCCAGCAGCCCCCGCAGCATCACCCCATGCCAGTCCAGCGGTCTCTGCCACATCACCCCATGCCACTCCGGTGGCCCCTGCCGAGTCACCCCCACCACCACCCCAGCAGTCCCCGCCACTCCAGTGGCCCCCACCGCATCACCCCCATGGGGCTCGAAGTCACCGACCCCTGGGTCGCCAGCCCCAACTACCTCAGCCCACACCCCCCACACCCTCCCACATCCATTGGGCTCTCATGCCCACCCAGGGCCTGGTATCCATCGCCTGTGGCAGACATGGCCCCAGGCAGTAACTTGACTACCATTGACTTGGCTGTGGCAACAACCGCAAAGATGGCGGGTGGCCCCTGAGGTGGCTGTTGCTGAGGTGAGGCCCTGGGCACTGGGGCCTGACTTGAGGCAGGCAGGGTGTCAGAGGAGCCAGCCGCTGAGGGGACAAGAGACTGTCTGTGATGGTGCCTAAGGAGGCCCCACCACGTGAAAGGCAGAGAGCCGATGTCAGGACGGGCCTACCAAGGCTGCACCTCTGAGGACAACTGTGCAGGAGGCATGAAAGATGCCTCTAGAAAGGTGACGGGAGGCGGGGCCGCAAGTGTCACCTGAGGGCCACGCCCCCTTTTCCTGAAGCAACGACTGACATGCCCTGCATCCAATGAATGACCTCACATTCTAGGATTGCTCACAATCGCCTCCCTGTTCTTTGAGACTTCAGGGTTTTGGGCTCCGTTTAGGTCCACACAACTCCTGTCCATTTAGTTTTATGATTGTCCAAAAAACTATAGTGGTCCGGTATGGAGGCACTCTGGGCCACGGGGAACTAGGTAGAGTTCCTGGACTTCCACCTGGTAAAGGCTCATGCGTGCAGAGACAGGGTCATAAAAATGTTGTATAGCTCAGACCCCAGCAGTAGTAACAACCTCCCAGAAAGAGTGAGAGAAGAATTTGTACTATTTAGTATGGTTAAAGCTACTTGGAAAAGAGCAGACAAGATCGAAATGAATGCAGTGAGAACTGAGTGTTGAAGAAGTAAATGACAGAAGCTGGAAGGTGTCTAATCACCCCTGACAAATTCACTTCAAACCTCCAAATAATGAATAAAAAAAGAGATACATCTTTTAAAGGACTTGGTTAAAACCACAATGAGATATAAATGCACAACCACCCTCATGGATATACAAAAAAAAGGAGGATAATTAGAATTAGTTTGGCAGTGATGTGAAGTCATAACCCCCCAAACTGCTGATGGGAATACAAAACTATGCAACCACTTGGGAAAACAGTCTGGAAATTCCTCAAAATGTTAAGTGCACAATTACTACTTAATCTAGAAATTCTACTAGGTATATGCCCAAGAGAAATGAAAACGTGTCCACACAAAGACTTGTACACAAAATTCATAGCAGCATTATTCATAATCAGCAGGTAGAATCAACTCAAGTGTTCATTAAGTGATGAATGGATAAACAAATGTAGTATGTCCATATAATGGACTATTAGTCACCCATAAAAAGAATAAAGTACAGTTACATAGTACAGCATGGATGAACCTAGAAAACATGCTAAGTGAAAGGCAATCACAAAAGACCACATATTATATGATTCCATTCATATTAAATGGCCAGAATAGGCACATATACATATATATGGAGAAAGTAGATTAGTGTTTGCTTAGGGCTAGTGGGGTTGGGAGGTGTGCAGGGTTTCTTTTGGAGTGATGAAAATTGATTGTGGTGATAGGTGCACAACTCAATATATTAAAATTCACTTAATTGTACACTTTTAATGGGTGAATTGTATAGTGTATTAATTATGTCTCAATAAATTAGATACAAAAAATATAGATAGACCAAAACAATTCTAAAAGAAGGTATGAGTAAACCAAAAGAACAGGAACAATAAACAACTGAAGAACAGAGGGAACAGGAAACAAAAAATGTTGCAGTTAAGCCTTGGCATAGCAAATATTACATTAAATTTATAAGATCTAAGTACACAAATTAAAAGACAAAGTTGTAGAGTAGGTTCAAAACACAATGCAATAATATGCCACATAAAAGAAACTCACTTCAAATAGAAGAATATATGCATGTTGGAGGTAAAAGGATGGAAAAAGTTCATGTAAACATTTAACAAAGGAAAGCAAGAGTGGCTATAATAATATCAAATAAAGTGAACCAATGCAATAAAATTATCAAATACAGAGAAAGAGGAGGAGGACATATTTAATGAGAAATGTCAATACACAGAGACAACATATAGGGGTCCCAAAGTTTATGCCCCAAACAACAAAGCTGCAAAATATGCCAAGCAAATACTGGCAGAAATAAAAGGAGAAATAGACAAATATCTGTCACTGAAGACTTCAACACACCTTTCTCAAAAACCTACAGAAGTAGACAGAATATCAGCAAGGATATAGAATTCAATAACACCATCAGTCAACGGGGTGAAATTGACATTTATAGAATACACCAGGTAACAACAGCAGAGTATACATGCTTTCCACATGAACATGGAACATACACCAAGATAGACCATATCCTGTACACAAACAAACCTGGACATATTTTTAAAAAGGAAATCATACAGAGTATGTTGCTCAACAACTTTGGAATCAAACCAGAAATTAAGAACAGAAAGATAATTGGAAAATCTCCAAACCCTTGGAAGCAAGTCAACATACTGTTAAATAGTCCTTAAGTCAAAGAATGAGTCTCAAAGGAAATAATGTACTGAACTGAATGAAAATGAAAATAAATATATCAAACTTTGAAGGATACAGCTAAAAAAGAGATGAGAGGGAAATTCACAGCACACTAAGTGCTAATATTATAAAAGAGAAAAAGTCTCAAATCAATAACCTAAAGTTATAACTTAACCTAGAAAACCCAAAGCAAGGGAGGGAAATAGAGTGGAAGTCAATGAAATTGAAAACAGAAAAATAGAAAAAACAAATGAAACAAGTAACTGGTAATTTGAAAAAAATCAATAAAATTGACTAAACACTAGCAAAACTAACAAGAAAAAAGAAGTCACTTCACTGAATAGGAAATATGGATAAACACATGAAAAGATATTCCACATCATTAGCAATTAGTGAAATGCAAATTAAGACCATAATGACATATCACTACTTATCTATAAGTATACTAAAAACATTGAGTTGTACATTTTAAATGGTTACATTTTATTTTTCTTAAAGTATCTTTGATATACATTCTTACGGTTTCACATACACAACACAGGGATTCGACAATCACTCATATTATCAGGACCTCCCCCCCTCCATTGCAGTCACTGTCTATCAACAAGATGTTATAGAGTCATTAATTGTATTCTCCGTGCTGTACTACCATCCCAGTGACCTACCTATATCGTAATTGTGAATTAATGTGCCCTTTAATCCCCTTCTCCCTCCCAACCCCTTCTCCTTTGGTAACTACTTGTCCATTCTTGGTGTCTATGAGTCTACTGCTGTTTTGTTCCCTCAGTTTTGCTTCATTGTTATACTCCACGAATGAGTGAAATAATTTGGTATTTGTCTTTCTCTGCCTGACTTATTTCACTGAGCATAATACCCTCTAGATCCATCCATGTTGTTGCAAATGGCAGGATTTCTTTTCTTTTTACTTCTGAATAATATTCCTTTGTGTATATGTACCACATCTTCTTTATCCATTCATCTCTTGATGGACATTTAGATTGCTTCCATTTCTTGACTATTGTAAATAGTGCAGCAATAAACATAGGGGTGCATATGTCTTCTCGAATCAGAGATTTTGTTTTCTTTGGGTAAATTCCTAGGAGTGGAATTACTGGATCAAATTGCATTTCTATTTTTAGTTTTTTGGTGAAAGTCGATTTTGCTTTCCTCATCAGTTGAACCAATTTGCATTCCCAATAGTGTAGGAGGGTTCTTATTTCTCCACATCCTTGCCAGCGTTTGTCATTTCTTGTCTTTTGGATAGTGGCCATGCTAACCGGTGTGAGGTGATATCTCACTGTGGTTTTGATTTGCATTTCCCTGATGATTAGTGATGTGGAGCATCTTTTCATGTGCCTGTTGGCCATCTGTGTCTTCTTTGGAGAAGTGTCTGTTCAGGACCTCTGCCCATTTTTTTAAACTGTAAAGGGTTTTTTTTTATTATGTAACATAGGCAACATAAGTCAATAAATTTTTTAAGAGCTTAGTATGGCATGGTTCCTTCCCCTGCCAATCGCCTTACCTTCTCCAAATTGAGGCATGATCTTCAATAAAAACAGTCCTTTTAAAATCACCTTTTGTTCAATCCAGTTATTAGTCAGTCTTGTAATCTGAGTTCCACTTCTTCATGCAATTTACTTTGGGACCACATTTAGGGTCAGAGGAGATGGATCTGCCTGGTTCTCAATTTTAGACACCCTCTAGCCCTTAGTTAAGATCAAATCATACACATTCCTAAGTTGTCATACCCTAAGAATAGTATAGATCATTGGGATATGCAAATATCTGTAAGTCCAGAGACTGTATTTTCAAGTTATGAGCCTAAAAGAGAACCATTTTTGTTTCATGTCAACATTAGAACACTAAGCTGATACAGCTGAGATTTATCCTATGCTTTTTAATTATCAATAGCAGCTGAGCTTTACCTTATATCCTATGCTTTTTAATTATCAATAGCAGCCCCCCATCACTACTTTAGTCCTCATTATGTATCATGTTCCATCTTATCTGTATCAAAACTCATGCTGAACAATGAGTTTTGGGTTGCGAAAGAGGATCCTCTGCCCATTTTTTAATCGGATTATTTGGTTTTTGGGTGTTGAAGCATATGAGTTCTTTATATATTTTGGATGTTAGTCCCTTATTGGATAAATCATTGACAAATATATTCTCCCATACTGTAGGATGCGTTTTTGTTCTGCTAATGGTGTCCATTGCTGTATAGAAGCTTTTTAGTTTGATGTAGGCCCACTTGTTCATTTTTTATTTTGTTTCCATTGCCCAAGGAGATGTGTTCAGGAAAAAGTTACTCATGTTTATATTGAAGAGATTTTAGCCTATGTTTTCTTCTGTGAGTTTTATGGTTTCATGACTTACATTCAGATCTTTGATCCATTTCAAGTTTACTTTTGCATATGGAGTTATACAATAATCCACTTTCATTGTCTAACATGTAGCTGTCCAGTTTTCCCAACGCCACTTGTTGAAGAGGCTGTCTTTTCCTCATTGTATATTCATGGCTCCTTTATAGTATATTAATTGGCCACATATGTCTAGTTTTATATGTGTGCTTTCTATTCTGTTCTATTGATCTATGGGTCTGTTCTTGTGCCAACACCAAATTGTTTTGATTACTGTGGCTTTGTAGTAGAGCTTGAAGACAGAGTGTAATGCCCCCAGCTTTGTTCTTCCTTCTCTGGATTTGATTGGCTATTTGGGGTCTTCTGTGGTTCCGTGTGAATTTTAGAACTATTTGTTTTAGCTAATTGAAGAATGCTATTGGTATTTTGATAGGGATTGCATTGAATCTGTAGACTGCTTTAGGCAGGATGGCCATTTTGACAATAATTCTTCCTATTCATGAGCACAGGATAGATTTCCATTTATTGGTGTCTTCTTTCATTTCTCTCATGAGTACCTTGTAGTTTTGAGAATAAAGGTTTCACTTCATTGGTCAAGTTTATTCCTAGGTGTTTTATTCTATTTGATGCAATTGTAAATGGAGTTGTTTTCCTGATTTCTCTTTCTGGTAGTTCATTAGTATATAGGAATGCAACAGATTTCTGTGTATTAATTTTGTATCCTGCAACTTTGCTGCATTCAGTTATTCTAATAGTTTTTTGGTGGATAGACATTTATTTTTTACAGTTCTGGAAGGTTGGAAGTCCAAGATCAGGGTACTGGCATGGCTGAATTCTGGTGAGTCCCTCTTCTAGGTATAGACTGCTCTCTTCTGCTGTGACCTCACATGGCAGAAGGGGGCAAGAGAGCAATCTGTGGTGTCTTTGATAAGGGCACTAATCCCATTCATGAGGGCTCCCAAAGATCTCACCTCCAAACATCATCACACTGGGGGTTAGGTTTCCACACAGGAATTTGGTGGGGATGACACAACTATTCAGTCTATAGCAGCTACCTTCTTTATTTCTGATTCTAGTAACTTGAGCATTTTTTTTATTAGTCTAGCTAAAGGTTTGTCAAATTTTGTTGATCTTTTTAGAGAACCAAATCTTGGTTTCAGTGATTCTTCTCTATTGGTTTTCTATTTTAGTTATGTATCTTTTTTCTAATTTTTATTATTTCTTTAACTCTGCTTTAGGGTTAGCTTGCTCTTCTTTTTCCAGTGATTAAGGTGAAAGGTTAGCTCATTGATTTGAGATCTTTCTTCTTTTCAAACTAGGCATTTACAAATATAAAATACCCATTAAGCCCTGCTTTCACTGGATCCCATAAGTTTAAATATCTGTATTGTTTTCATTCATCTCGAAGAATTTTCTAATTTCCCTTGTGATTTCTTTGGGACCCACTGGTTATTTAGGAGTGTGTTGTTTAATTCCACATTTGTGAACATACCAAATTTCCTCTGTTACTGATTTATAATTTTGTTCTATTGTGGTTGAAGAACGCACTTCATATTATTTCTGTCCTTTGAAAGGTGTTGAGATTTGTCTGTGGCCTACCATATGGTCTATTCTGGGGAGTATTCCATATGCACTTGAGAATAATGTGTACCCTGCTGTTGTGTACCATGATGTGTTCGTGTATGTCCAGTAGGTATAGATATTTTACAGTGTTGTTCAGTTCTTTTACTTCCTTGTTAGTATTCTGTCTTGTTCTATCTATTATTGAATGTAGATTTATAAAGCCTTCAACTATTTTAGAATTGTCTATTTTTCCCTTAATTTCTGTCAGTTTTTGCTTCATGTAATTTGGTGTTATCATATAATTGTTATATATTCCTGATGGTCATGTTGTTGATATAATTTAATTTATGTGTATTATTTTTACTTTCTTGTTTTCTGTATGTCCCATGCATTTTTCATTACGCTATTTCCTCATTTACTGCTTTCTTTTGCATTAAGTGACTATTTTCTAATGTAAATTCTTAATTTCTTTAGTTTTTTCATTATATTTTTGGGTTATTTTCTTCATTGTTCCTTAGGCTTGCCATGTAGATCTTAACTTAGCAGAATCATCTTCAGATTTACACTAATTTAATTCTAATTAGATATAGAAATGTTAGTCCTGTATAACTCTATTCCCTTCTTCCTCTTTTTGTGTTATTTTCCTTACATGTATTATATATGTTAAGACACAGCAGTATAGTGCTATAATTATATCTTTCAAACAAATGAGCAAGGAGAGCATGTATATATTTATAGCTTTTGTTATGTTAACCTTATTTCCCGTATTTGGTTTCTTCATTTATTACTGTTGATCCATGTTATCACCTTGACTCATTTCCTTAATCCAATACAGCTTTGCTTCCTACCACCTCCTTTGTGTTGTTATCCGCAAATGTTACATTTCTATGTTAAAGGTCCAACAGTATGTATATGTATATATACGTGTATATATATATATATATGTGTGTGTGTATCTTTTTTATTGCTTTTTAAACTGGTTAAGTAAAGAAATATCCATTTATATTGTTTTTTATAATAACAAATTTACCTTTACAAGTGCTTTTTTTGTATGGATTCAGAATACTATCTGGGGTCACTTGTTTCCAGCCTAGTATTTCTTATAAGGTGGGTCTGCCAGCAAGAAATTCTCTAAGATTGTGTTGATCAAGAAATACCTTAATTTCACATTTATTACTCAAAGATAGCTTTGAAGAATATAGGATTCTTGGTTAATAGTTTTTTGTTGTCATTTTGAGCACTTTCAATATGTTTCTCCCTGCCTTCTGGTCTCCATTGTTTCTGATGACAAGTCACGCATTAATTTTATTAGGGTTTCCTTATAAGTGACCCCTTTTCTCTTACTTCTTTCATGATTTTCTCCATGTCTTTGGTTCTCAGCATTTTTACTATGATGCATATTTTTATAGATCTGGTTGTTTTTGTCATACTTGAAATTCATTGAGCTTCTTGGATGTGTAAAGTTTTTCATCAAATTTGAAAATACTCAGCCATTATTTCTTTTATTTTTTATATATTCTTTTTTATTTTGGTATGATTAATCTACAATTACATGAGCAACATTATGTTTACCAGACTCCCTCCATCCTCAAGTCCCCCCCCCCACATACCCCATTACAGTCACTGTCCATCAGCGTAGTAAGATGCTATAGAATCACTACTTGTCTTTTCTGTGTTGTACAGCCCTCTCTGTGCACTCCCCCTACATTATGTCTGCTAATAGTATTTTCCCTTTTTTTCACCTTATCCCTCCCTTTCCACCCATCCTCCCCAGCTCCTTTCCCTTTGGTAACTGTTAGTCCATTCTTGGGTTCTGTGAGTCTGTTGCTGTTTTGTTCCTTCAGTTTCTTTCTTTGTTCTTATAGTCCACAGATGAGTGAAATCATTTGATATTTGTCTTTTTCTGCCTGGCTTATTTCACTGAGCATAATACCCTCTAGCTCCTTCCATCTTGTTGCAAATGGGAGGATTGGTTTTCTTCTTATGGCTGAATAATATTCCATTGTGTATATGTACCACATCTTCTTTATCCATTCATCTGCTGATGGACACTTAGTTTGCTTCCATATCTTGGCTATTGTAAAAAGTGCTGCAATAAACATAGGGGTGCATATGTCTTTTTGAATCTGAGAAGTTGTATTCTTTGGGTAAATTCCAAGGAGTGAGATTCCCAAGTCAAATGGTATTTCTATTTTTAGTTTCTTGAGGAACCTCCATACTGCTTTCCACAATGATTTAACTAATTTACATTCCCACCAGCAGTGTAGGAGGGTTCCCCTTTCTCCACATGCTCACCAACACTTGTTGTTCTTAGTCTTTTCAATGTTGGCCATCCTTACTGGTGTAAAGTGATAACTCATTGTGGTTTTAATTTGCATTTCCCTGATGATTAGTGATGAGGAGCATCTTTTCATGTGTCTGTTGGCCATCTGAATTTCTTCTTTGGAGAACCATGTCTTCATATCCTCTGCCCATTTGTTAATCGGGTTATTTGCTTTTTGAGTGTTGAGGTGTGTAAGTTCTTTATATATTTTGGATGTTAACCGCTTGTCAGATATGTCATTTGCAAATATATTCTCCCATACTGTAGGATGCCTTTTTGTTCTATTGATTGTGTCCTTTGCTGTACAGAAACTTTTTAGTTTGATGTAGTCCCATGAGTTCATTTTTGCTTTTGTTTCCCTTTCTCGAGGAGATGCATTCAGGAAGAAGTTGCTCATGCTTATATTCAGGAGATTTTTGCTTGTTTACAAGTCTGCTTCCATTTTACCATATGTTCTTTTATAGTGAGTACATGTGTTCTGCTCAATGTGTGTTTGTCCTCAATACTTAGTCCAGAACCTGGTGCATAATAAGAACCTGGAAAATGCTTTAAAAAACTGAACACCCAACACTGGTCAGGCTCCCATACCATTAAACCCCAAACAACAAATGACACCTTCTTTGTTTCAAAATTATTTGGGGAGGCCATTACTAATTAGACTTAGCTTTATGAAACTTTCTACTTATTGCTACCTGATTCAAAATGGGTGATTTATATGTAACAGTACCATTGATGCACTTAAGAAATTTAATTCAATTGATTATTCATTTTTTGAAAACTCTCAGGGCTGAAGCAGCTGGTGGCAAAGTTGCAGGAGTGGCCTGAATGTTTCCCGTGGCCCAGGGGCAGAACCCACAGAAGTGCAGGT